CTGTAATTCGAGAGGGTTGCAGAAGGCATGCCTCGATCTGAAACAAGACCTCCGAAGGCACGGCTCTAGGGGTTTAGGGTTTAGGGCTTATAGGGTTTAGGGTTTAGGGTCTAGGGCTTAGGGGGTTTTGGGCACATAACCCCCGGGCCTCAAGGCAACTGTGTATGCGTTGACTCTTGTGTTCTGCCCCAAAATATGCACGCACTAATTTTTTTCGCACGCGGGCATACGCACCCGTGTAGACGAATCGTACATAACTAAGCAAACAAAGATACAGTTGAAAATGTTGATGCTGTGCAACAAATGTATACACGTAACTGTGTATCAATATCTGCAACCCTAAAACCTGAATGAACCCTAAACTCAGAATATGCCGTAAACCCTATACCCTACACCCAAACTCAACAACCCTAAACAACACACAGACAGCACAGTAAAGCTCAAACCCTAAACCAGGCGTTCATGTTCCTTTCCCTTCAGAGATCCTTTAAGGGTTCCTTTACGAGGTCCTAGATATTTTAAGGGATATCCCTAAGCCCTAAACCCTAAACCCTAAACCCTAAACCCTTAAGGGGTCCTTTAAGGTATCTATGGGAAAGCCGAGCCGCAGCGCTGCGCCGGAGATCTCCACGGTGGCCTGGCCTCGAAGTTCGGCGTTCATCCTCGGAGCCCAATGGTGTGGGGGGCTTTAGGGTTTAGGGTTTAGGGTTTAGGGTTTAGGGTTTAGGGCTTAGGGCTTAGGGCTTAGGGCTTTAGGGCTTAGGTATCTCGGGGCTTTTGGAGTTCAAAGTTTTTTGGAGGGGTCTGGTTAGAGGGAACATGTATAGGCCTGAGAGGACAGTGCTGGGTTCATTCCGGGCGGGTTTTCCCAAAAGATTCCCCCATGGTGCCGCAATTGTCTTTCGAGCCGGGCCTGACATCACAAAGATCTCTGTGCTGCAGATTTGGGGTTGCAGATTTTGGAATTCTGGTTCTTTTGCGAACACTTCTTTGCGTCTGCTAAGAGATTTTGGAGTTCTGGGTTGTCTTTATGGGAAGTCAAGCGGGTGGAGATGGCGGTTTGGGTTCAGAGGCCCCAGGAACTTCCTTGACTACAGGGCCAAAGGCTCATAGAGCTTCGGGGTTTTGGGCTTTCACGGGTAGTTTGGGCTTCGGGGTCTGGAACCTAGCAAAGCCAAAACCGAACTAAGGGGTTCATACCGGTTGAAGATCTTGCTAGAATCTGCACCCAAGACTGGCCGGAAGCCCCCAAAACCCCCACAAAGCCGCAACGAGAGGCATGGGGTTCACCGTCACCGGCACACCAGGCATGGGCCAAACTGTGAGGACGGGGCCTGAGACGTCGACAGGTTGCTGTAGAATTCGGGGTGCTGTAGCAAAGCGTATTAAGGGTAGTATAAGGACTGTCAGGGAATAGTAGTGGTAATCCTTGCGGCCCCCATATTATGTGGCTTCAGGGCCAAGAGGTATCAGTTTACGGATTGGAGTGATAAGCTGATGGCTTGGAGTTTTGGGTTTAGGGCATAGCGCCTGGTTGCACGAGATGAAGTCAACTCTCAGGAATGGTTTTCACAGCTCCGGAGGACTCTGACTGTCGCGCGAGGCGAGCGGGTTGTGAGAACTTCCGACACAGGGCTATCACTGGGATCGTGGTACTTCCGACTCTTGAGCCGGATAGAGAGAGCATTCTGGCTAAACCCCAAGGGCTGGATCCCAAATCCCATACCCCAAACCTCAGGGCCCTGGCCTGAAACCCTAAACCCAAAGCAGCAACCCGAAAGCACAAACAATAGCACAGTGGAGAACCCAGAGAACCCGGCAAGGAGGAGTTGAGGCCCCTGCCCATGCCAAGGCGAAGCACCTCAGCGAAGGGGTCGTGTGAACACATGTAGGATGGTTTAGGGTTTAGGCTTCAAGGGATGTTCTATGAGTTTGATTACGGTTGTGCCGGGGGATACAATCGCATCGGGCTTCGCGTGTAATTTCCAACTGACTGTACATGTCGTCTTTGAATGCCATTTCAAGCTCCACATTCCCAAAGACTGAACTCAAAATGCCGAGAAAAAAAAACGGAGAGTGCACTAAACCTCCTAAAGACCGCTCAGGGTCCCGCAAACAACACACGAAAATCTAAAACTCAAAAAGAAAAAACCTTATATACACCCTCTGGAACCTTAAACCCTAAAGAACCCTAGAGAACCCTAAGAGAACCCTAAAAAACCCTAGAGAACCCTAGAGAACCCT